AGGACCTGGAGTTGATTTTAAACTTGTGTGTATCTGAAGGAGATGTTCATGACTTGGGGTTCCTTCTGAACTCCCAGCTCCTGGTTAAACAGCAGGTGGAAACCATGGTTGGGGGGCCTTGGCTGAGCTTTGGCTGGTGTGCCAGTTACAACCCTACTCGGGCCAAGGTGCCTTCTCTGTGGCTGCACATACCCTGTGCAACAGCATTCCCCCCCCCCCCCCACCGACGAGCCTGTTAGCTTTTTGAAAGGCTCCGAAGACCTGGTTGTTTCCCCAGGTATTTGGGTCAGGAGGTTAAGCGAGCTCTGCTGGAGATGTGGCTTTCTGGTTTGGGGGTGGTTGTTTCAACCAGGGTATCATGATTTCTATATCGTTACAGTAATTTTAATCTTTGTATGCTGCCCAGAGTCACTGCTGTGAGATGGGCAGCTCTATAAATCATTTCAGTAAATAAATACAATGCCCTAGTGAGGGTAATTCCTGCCGTAATCCCATTTGGCTGGACTACTGCAGTGTGCTCCACGTGGGGCTGCCTTTGGAGACTACCTGTGCTACAGTGAGACCCCTGATGGATCAGCCTCATCAGGCGCAAAGAACTCCTATTTGGAAGCTGCTTAATTGGTTGCCAAAGCACTGCTTATCATCTTGACAGCCCCTTATGGGATACATCAGACCACATCTTACCCGCATTGACCTGCTTCTCTGCTCCAGTCATCCAGCGAGTGCCTGCTGAGAATCCTTCCCCTCCCTGAAAGAAGCAGGTGGGAGGATGGATTACAGAGCAGGTCTTCTCCATGGTAGCCCCCATTCTCTGAAACCTTCCCACAACACATGTGAAACCATAATTGACCCAACCCTCATTTAACTGGTTGTGTGAACGAGGCTGAAAGCGATACAGGCCAAGGAGAGCTTCCACCAAGTGCTGGGCATCCTGTTTCTTTTGGAACTTGGCATCCCTTTGTACCAGTGACCCGTGCCTTAGCCCAGTGTTCGCCTTTTGCTCATCTTTGCTTCCATCTTCCTTGGGTTCATGAGTGGAGGAACGGAACATCTCTCCTTTTTCTTCACTTTCTCTTGTTTGTACTGTAATGAATGCAGGACCCTTGATTTTTTTTTCCCCCTTTCTTTTTTCCCTCTTCGCTCAAAGCAAGAAGAGGATTGATTTGCATTGTGGTACGCTTGGCAGGGTGGCTGGGTGCTGTTTTCCCTCCCCAGAAAGTCGTGGGGGGTCTTTATTAACTTTAAGTCATCTGTTTTGCAGATATAGGAACTGAATCTTGGCAGATGCTCCTCCTGACTAGGGTCTTGGGTCTATTTAAGAGGGCCTTCCATTTGTTTTAAGGCAGTTGTTTAATTGTGAAGTGTGAAGAGTTTGGGGCTGTTTTTCAAGGCTTCTTGTATGTTCCTTTACTGAACATTGGGGAGAAAAAAGTCTGATATGTATTGATTTTTAGAAGTAAAAATCAATTTATGCAGTAAATATGACTGAACAGGAACTTTTTTGTTGTATTCTGTGACCGGGGCTACGCGGAGGGGTAATTTTAATGCTTTAATGCTTCTCCATGTGGAGTAATCATTGGCTAGGTTCAGCTGTGATTTGATTAACCATATTTGTGTGTGTGTGTGGGTGTAATAGCTTTTTTTACTTGAATAAGGAAAGCCCAGCAATAATTGAACAATGTAAAAATGAATAATTAATAATTAACAAAATTAATAATTAAACAATGCAGAAATTAAGCAATACAATGATAACGTTATAAAGAAAAAAATTAGAAAGCTAAAAAACCCCACAAAAGCATACAAATCATATATTCACAGGTACATAGACATATATGAAAATTCTCCATGAGTGTTTCAGTGAATGGTAACTACATTTCATCCTAATTATCCATAGCTAGTCTACAGTGATAAGATATTTGTTTGTAAATTGCGGATAACATCAGCTCTGCAGACCACTGAGCCATTGGGGCCTTATATTTAGCTTTGCAGTGCTGACAAAAAGTCTTTTAGCTATAAGTAGACCATGCATTTAAATGTTTGTAATCGTTTTGATTTTATTTTAATTCTGTTTGCCACCCAGTCACTTGTTCAGATGGGCCATATAAATTGGAAAAATAAAATAAAGTGGTATCCTAAATATACCACTAGGCTTAGTTGACACAATACAGCAGGCCTTAAACCATGTTTACAAAAGAGTAACTTGATTCACATAGAGCATATATTAAAAAGCATATTAGGTGCTTTGAGTTGGTCACGATTGTAGTAACATATACAGCCCATTGCTTTCTTCATGTAGAAAGCTAGCTTAGTGGGAAGAAAACTCTGCGTTGGTGATGGTGAGAGACAACTTAATCATTTAACTCTGCTGGTCAGTACAGAGCACCCTGGCAAGTTAGGTGGATGAATAAATCTAGTATAATGAAGAAGAGGAGTTGGCAGTTTCTTATTTGATGTTTTCCCTCGCAACATAAATCCCTTGCAGGTAGAAAAATTAGATGTTAGAAAGAAGGCTGGATGAAACACTCCTTCCTTGGCCTGCTAGATTTCATTCTGCAGGGAGGGGTTCTTTTCCAGGCAAAAGTCATTCAGACCTCCAGTTTCCTCCTGGAAATGGGCCAGACTAGGCAAATCTAGTTGGATGGATCTTGAAAGGAACTGAATTAACACTTTCCAAAAATTCCCTCTTGAAATATAGCTTGGAAGAAGAATAACAGTAGGGTTGCTTAAATAGTAAGCCTGTGTCTGTTTTTATCCAGGTGATCTGTGGAGTTACGACTTCTACAGCGGGGAGTTCGTTGTCTCTCCGGAGCCGGACACAAGTGTACACACACTAGATCCTCAGAAGCATAAATATATAATTTTGGGCAGCGATGGTCTGTGGAACATGATCCCACCACAAGAAGCTATTTCCATGTGCCAGGACCATGAAGAGAAAAAGTATTTTATGGTGAGCTGTCAGGATTTCTTTTTTCCTTTGCTTTTGGTAAAACCTTCTGTTTGGTCTCTTTGTATTTTCTGTAGATGAGAATCAACAAGGTTTAGTCCTTATCGCTGAGGAAAACGCCAACAAGGGAACTTAATAAGCCTCGATACATTTTGGATTAGCTGCCATTCGTCAGCTGCTAATGAGTCTGTCGCAAGCAGTTTCTCTTAGTGAAGTCGAATTTGTATGTAAGCTGGAACAGTATTATTGTATAATACTGTATAAGTCAGTGTTTCTCAAGCTTGGCCACTGTAAGATGTGCGGACTTCAACTCCCAGAATTCCCCAGCCAGCCATGCTGGGGAATTCTGGGAGTTGAAATCCGCACATCTTACAGTGGCCAAGCTTGAGAAACACTGGTATAAGTAGTATTGTATAATTAACTCAAATCATTGTGTATTTAACTCGAATTTTGCTACAACAGCCTCCATTCTTACCTATAAGTCGTCCGTAAACCGGGCATTCTTAACCTGCGGACTCCCCGAACTAGAACCAGAGTAAACTTCTCCCAGCCTGTCTCTCTTGGGTTGCTTGTTCTGCAATTACGACCTTTCCTGACTTCTGGCCACGCTGGATAGCGTTGATTGCACTTCTGGTTCAAAATACTTTTACCCTTGCACTAAAGTGCAGTTGTTTAAAAAAAAGGGGTGTGTGGCATGACAGGTTTGCTCTTTGCTTCCCTTCCTTCTTCTTGATTTCAGAAGTGGAAGTCCAGCCATGGCTTTTCTCACCAGTCCAAGGACAAACAGAGTTGGAAATCCTGTTCACCATCCCCCAGATTGTAAAATTAACAGGAGGGGTGTTAAAAACCGATTTGGGGTTCTCTGCCTTTGGAGGAATGTGCAACCAAAGTAGGAGTGTGAAAGTTGGAACATAAACCTAACATTGTTAAGAAGAAGAGAACCCCCCCCCTGCAAGGACCTCGAGCAATGTCACCCTGCATATTTGGGTTCCTTGCACCCCCAAAATCTTAAGTGTGGTCCTCAGCCAGTCTGGTTGGGTATCTCTAGCATGGAGCTTTCTAGTGGGAGGGACATCTGGACAAGTGGACCCCAGCAACAATCTATTACAGGGGGCCCCCTTCTGGTTCTGGGTGCCAGCTGGCTGCCCGTGCCCTTTCCTAGAACACTGTATCCCACTCCTCCATCTCTGTGTCCCCCGTCTTCCTCCCCAGGTTAATGGTATTCTCTTTCCACCGAGGATACTTAATTCTCATTGTGCTTCTTTCAGATTGTCTTCCTCTCAAGCCCTTCTCTCCTGAAAAATCACCCTTTGGCTCCTTAGTACTGTACTTCTCCAACATGAGGAATTCTCCTTAATCTCTTGGGTCTTGGTGCTTTGCAATATAAAAGAATTCCTCCTCTGCAAGAGGCTTTGCTGTTAGGGATGGGTGACTTTATTTTTTATTCTTCATTTTTAAAATAATTTTGGCCTTCGAAGGAGCAAGGCCAGAGACAAGGTGGTATCAGTGGCTCAGGGCTGAAGATCTGCTTGGTGCTTTGGAGCAGGAGAGTGGGAAAGGACCGGGACCTGCGCAGACACACACACACTTCTCCAGACTAGAGGCGTTGATTGTTATAGTGCTGTTTGAGCAAATAGTTTGTGCTCATTCCTACCCTGCGGCCGTAGCTTCCTTCACAAACAACTATATATTTATGCGCATACAAGGACGTTTGCAGTTCCTTAACTACCTCACTCCCTGCATTATTCACACACACAGGTATTTGCAGAGGGTGGTCAAAAAGTCAAGATGGTAGCCAGCCCACATGCTTGCATTAAAAGGGGGATGGGCTTTGATTAAGTAGTCATGGCCACCAGCTTGATTTTTTTGGCACCCCCGCTCACGTACGTCTTCCTTACGACGGCTTTGTTGCGCTTCGCCCTTTTGAACGGTGTTTCTCAAGCTCAGCAACTGTACGCTGTGTGCACTTCAACTCCCAGTGTGCCAGCTGGGGAATTCTGGGAGTTGAAGTGCACACAGCGTACAGTTGCTGAGCTTGAGAAACACTGCTTTAGACAGTAGTTTCCATTTGGGACTTTCTTTTGGCCTAGAGAGGAGGCGGGAAGGAGGGGAAAAAATAATTGTTTCCTGAAACTTTTAGATTCCAGCATGTTGGTCGTGCCTTTCCTTGCTCTCTCCTTTTCAAAGACAGCTTCATTTTTTCGCTCACCAGCCTGTTTGCTCCATAAAGTTCAAGTTCCAATTCAGCTTTCTTGTGCTGGGCTGTCATCTTTTTCCAAGAATCCCCTCTCCAGCTGCTATGCCAGCTTTCTTCCCACAGCTTCAGTCTGATTTGTGCAGGACCTCCAGTCCACACAACACAAAGATAACATGACAGACTTCCTCCGTTGCCACCCAATCTGCCCCTTGCCTACAGGTAGTCCTTGCTGAATGACCATAACTGGGACCAGAAACTTCATCGCTAAGCAGCATGGTTGTAAAGCATGATGTCACATGACCATGCTGACTTATGATGGCAGTTCCTGTTGCTGTTGTTAAGCAAATCGCATGGTTGTTAAGTGAGGACTTCACATGACCGTGACTTGTGACTTCCTGCCACCTTCTCTGTTGACTTTGCTTGTGGGAAGCCAGCAGAGAAGGTTGCAAATCATGATCATGTGACTATGGGATGCTACATCAGTGAGAAGTGCAGGCCAGTCACCAACCACCAGAATTCTGATCACGTGACTGCAGGGGCACTGCGACAGCCAGAACCTCAAGGACCGGTTGTAAGTCCCACTCATTCAGCGCTGTCGTAACTTTGAACAGTCAGTGCATGAGTGGTCATTAAGTGAGGACTACCTATATTCTCACCCCAAAGCAGCCATGCCTAGTCACGGATGCCTTAATCAGTCAAGAAATGTCTGCATTACTCTTTGCATGGAGATGGCAAACAAACACCCTCAACCTTGAAACCAGTTTGCCTCCCATCTCCATCAGGGCTGCTCATCCTGCCACAGGGTGCCAACTCAGATCTTTTCAGGCATTAAATGGCAGTGTGAGGATTGTAAATGAGGTCTGTGGGCCAGGCATGCCTACCACAGTCTTTAGGGATAGTGATTTCCCTGTTTCTTCTTCTCTTCCTCATGTTTGACCCCAAAGGGAGAACATCAACAGTCTTTGGCCAAAATGCTGGTGAACCGAGCGCTGGGCCGGTGGAGGCAACGTATGCTTCGTGCAGATAACACCAGCGCCATCGTAATCAGGATATATTCAGGCCGGGGACGCCGGAGTTGCTGCCTGCAAAGCGAGGAAGAGCTGTGCTTCAACTTGGCCGAGGGACCTTTGTACAGCAGCCCCGAAATATGGACGATAACCCCTTCGCGCTGCTCTACCCCCCCAGTCAAGGTAAACATGATTTTTTTAAAGCCCCAAAGGTTGAGTGCTTTTCAGATGATGTTAAAAACAGGCATTTTCCAACAGGCTTTATGGTTTTAAGAGTCCAGTTTCTTTAACTTAACATATTCTTTAACTTAACTATATTAAAAGCCCTATTAAAAAATAGTCGTCAGGTGAACAGCAACCATTGCCAAGTCTCACCACTACTGTTGGACCCCCAGGCCAAGTCTGTGTCTTTTCGTCTTTTCATGGTCTTTCTAGCCCTCACCAGGTATTTGGGGTATTTGTATGCAAAATTCACCATTCTGCAAACATGAGAATGCTGAGTTTTTTTTCCTTCTGGGCCAAGCCATTCTGATAGTTTTACTTCTGGAAATCTTACTGGACTATCCCAGAATGGCCAGATTGGTGTGATCCAGAAGAAAACTGGAATGTTTTGGTGTTCTCCAGAATGTCCTCTCCCCAAGATGGTGAGTCTCTCTCTCTCTCTCTCTCACACACACACACACCAGTTTTGGGAGAGTTCCCTCTCCAAATGAATCTATAGCAGTTTTTTTCAAACGTGACCATTTTAAGAAGTGTGGACTTCAATTCCCATGCTGGCTAGGGAATTCTGGGAGTTGAAGTCCACACATCTTAAAATGGCCAAGTTTGAAAAAAACACCAGAGTAGAACTACCTCCAACACCAGGGACAGCAATCCTTGTCCTTTCTATGCTCCCATTTTATCCTCACACAACTCTACTACAGGCCGGCTGCATGGAGATAAGGGGATCCCAGTTTAGGAAGAAGTTTTTGGAACAGTATCAGAACATTTTCCATTTTGTGTGTTTTGATGATGAACATCAGGCATCTGTGACTTTTTCTCAGGTGCGGGCTTCACTGAGCCTTGGATAGTGTGCTAGTAGGCAGGGTAAGATAAAGAATGACAGAATAAATAAGCTATGATTTAAGGAGGACAGAGCAAAGCACTGAATTAATTTCAGTCTAAATATAATTAGGTTGCATTAAAAGTAAAAAAAAAATTCAAGGGGAGCTCAACTCTTGGTGACTTCATGGAGGCATCCATGTAATTTTTCCGGCAACGATGTTGACATAGTTTGCCATTGCCTTGTTCTGAGATTTTTTTTTCAACTTTCCAGTTTAGTCTACAATACTGAGATTTTGTCTCCCATCCAAGTACTAACTCAGGCCTGACCCTGCTTAGCTTCAAAACCCAGATGTTGCCAACCCTGTGGCCAGCTCAAAGATTCTGTGACCCTGGAGGGTTCAAGCTACACAACAGTTGCTTATGCTGGTACAGAGAAATTTGAGTAGACAGAACTTATGAGAAAGGTGCATTGTATGCATTTGAAGATCTTGAGCTATAGCATGACGCTAAGTTAAAATTATTTCACTTCCCCATAGGAAGTAAGTTTCAATGGACTCATTGAGATTGCTCTATAATAACAACAGCAACAACATTTGTCTATCCCAGGTCCTTGGAAAGGACTCGATAGGTAGATAAAAATGCCAAATCCAGTCTAAACAACTGGCTGACTGTGCGACCAACAACAATAATAAATAAAAATATAAATAATGTAATAATAAAATATTGGAGGTACACAGCTTGCTCTAGGACAGTGTTTCTCAACCTCAGCAACTTTAAGATGTGTGAACTTCCACTCCCCACATTTTCTCCCCCGCGACCTCGCGCGCTGTGGGCCGGGGAGGTTGTGGTATCCACGATTCATCACTACACAAACGCAGA